TATAAATATATATGTATGGTATTCAGCTTTGTTCAGGTATTTTCCCACGTCATTATAGTTGTGCTTTTAAAGTTGTAGCAACGTTTCGGCAGAATCTCATCTGCCATCATCAGGCTTCTGTATAGTATATAGATAATGCAGACGAACACAATACAGAAGCCTGATGATGGCAGATGAGATTCTGCCGAAACGTTGCTACAACTTTAAAAGCACAACTATAATGACGTGGGAAAATACCCAAACAAAGCTGAATACCATACATATAAATACCCAAGAAAACTTAAAGAAAACAAATATGTATATATACATATACATATATATACATATTAATACTAATATATATATAAATTGCTGTGTACATAAATGTTGTTTTACATGAAATTTGCTTGTCAATCTGAATGTTTGCTATTTAATAAATGGTATCATTTGTTTTATGAAACAATATGGTTATTTGAAATGTATCTCCTTAAAGCAGCTTTATTTCTGGTGGCTGTCAAAAACGACTAACTTTAACTTTGGAAGTTGTGATACATCACAAATCTGAAACTTAACAACTAGAAGTAAAATCTAATAGATTTTTTTCCCCTATTCAAGTTCCACGGACAAAACTTTGCCTATCTCAAAAATACTTCTTGCATTCTAGGTCCTGTAATATACAAATTAATAGCTAGTACCATCAAATTATGGATTCTGAATGAGTATTCACCAATGAGAGTTATCATTTTACTGGCAAAGGATAGTCATGCAAATTATCGTATCCCCTTTAAATTATAGAAGAAAGCAGACAGTGTGGGCTTTTTAAACTATACTACTGTATTATACAACTGGTTTCATACAAAGTAAATGGATTTAAAATTAATTAGCTCCAGGTGTATTGATAAGGTTAAACTAGCTTGAATGAAGTATTCACCTCTTAAACTTACATTTTTTAAGTCCAAGCCTCTGAAACAGCCACCTAATTGTAAATATCTAGAGTACCACTACCATCACCAGCTTTGTTGATTCTGTTGATGATAGAGGGGGAAATAGGTTTAACTATTTACTAGCCTATCTTAACAGGCAAGAAATCTCTATCTTCACATAAAATAATCTTCAACATTGATTATGCCAGCTTCAATTGTCATAACCCTCTTAAAGTTGACAGTTGTTTCAAACATGCCTATTAAAAAATTCTTCTATTATAGCTGTTTCCTAAGTAAGAAAAGTAATTATCTTAAACTTTTGTTGTAAATACATTCAAATTTGCAGACCCTGAAGGACTTTTATTTTTAGAAAAAAATATTTTTTACTGAGAATAAAAACTTCTAACACCCCCCCCCCCCCCCAAAAAAAAATGATTTTGTATTAGCTAATCTTTTCTCTTGTAGCTATGGTCAGCTGGCAGTCATGCTTACTCCAAACAACTGATAGAAAAAACTGTGAAGGATGAATTCCAACAGAACAAGATAAGAATTTCCTATAAAACTAGTACAATTTGATCCCTGTATTCACAACTTGGCTACTTTGTCACCTATTAAATAAACACTTGCCATGTTTACATTAAGCATAGTTTAACTCTTGTACACTACCAGGACAACAAGATTACCCATTCACAGTATCAGTAGAGTTTTTATGTCTTGCAGGAATAGGGATTGGCACTATCCAGCAGTGTGATTCAAAGGACAAAAGACAATTTGGAGCACATTAATGTTGATATAGCACCTACGGGCAACTCATGAGGCCTTGAAAAAGTCATTTTGATTTAGTGCCAACAGTACTGCAACCCTACAGCACTGTGTAACCCTTAAGAATCTGGATCACTGCCAGTCTTTTATTATTCAGGAAATCAACAAAAAAATCATGCTAAATTATTAAAATGTTATTCATGACAGATAGTTGAAAAATAATGCCTTTGATCCAAATCTTGCATTTGCTTTGCCTGTCTGAAGGCAGGTGGTCCTCAACTTATGACCTTTTGTTTAACAAAGTTTAGTTACAACAGCCTGAGAAAAAAGTGATTCACAACCTGCGCTTGAAGTTATGACTGTTGTACCACCCTTGTGGTCATAGGATTATGGTGCTTGGCAGCTAGCTCATGTTTTTGACCAGTTGCAGCATTCTGCAGTCATATGATCATGATCTGCAATCTGCTTAGCTGATTCCTGTCAAGCAACTGGGGAAGCCAGATTTGCGTTATGCATATCTGCAAAATAACCATGTGATTCACTTAAAAAATGCAGTAAAAATAATCATAAAATTGAGCCCAGTGACATAATGACTTATTGCCCACACTGCTCAGCAACCAAAATTCTGGTTCCAACTGGTAAATCGAGAACCATTTGTGAGAAATAAATATAAACTCTATTCAGCCAGATGAAATCTGTTGGATTAAGGAACTGTTTCAACTTCTCTTTTACTGAATATTAACAAAAAGCAATAAGATTTACAAATTAAGAATTTACAAATTTAGATTAATCTGCTTAGTGTGGAAAAGAAGGCATCTGTTTCCATGCAATATGCCACCCAGAGTTGCTTGACTGTGATGGGCAGTGTATAAATTTAATAAATGAAAGTCAAAGTTGAGGAAAGTGGAATGAAAGTTGCTTGTAAAAAAGGAACAATTACTGAAATGGGCGAGCTAAGCAGTGACAACCAATATTGTTTTTATCGACTAAAGAAAGATTAGGCACAAGGCAGATTCTTCTAATACTGAGGCAACATTAAAAATTAGCCTTTGGAATTGTTGCCAGTTCCTGCAATGGAATTAACTGATTATTTTATTCTAAAACAAGCTGTATATGGCAAGTAAATGCTATAAAGCAGACCATTTCCTTGAACTGTAAGAGAGTTCAAGAAATCACCAACTGAGTAATGACAGAACAAATAGGTTGGATGCTAAATGCAACATTGGGAGAAAATCGCTTCTGCTGTTAATATGAGTACACTAAGCATGAATATACAAGGAAGTTGTGGAATGGCTTAAGACACTTTTAAATATGTTCAATAATTTAAGATTCTGCTGTCAGTTATAGAATCAGACTTTTCTAATGCTGTAATCTGAAACATTAAATAAAAAAATAGCTTTGGATTTCACAGCCTAATGCATCCTTGTATACATACTATACAGGTTTCACCACTAATTCTTTCACACATTTTCTTTTAATCTTGTTCTAGAAGAACTTGTAGGGACACTTCAGTGAGAGGCATGCACAACAATATGCGCATTATATTGACGCGTCTGCATTCAATGGGACATGTGCTTCAGATCTGGTGGCAAAGAATGTGGAGCACATGGGGATGCAAGCATAGGAATTGGTATGCAACTTTACCCTTCACACCTTTTCCCAGATAATGCAGCAGCTGTAGGTAAGGTAATGCTTGTGCATTCTTTAGGAAAACAGTTTGTGCTTTAAGGAGTAGCAGGCAACTGCTGTTCTTAGGTCCTGCGAACTCCAACACATTCTTTTGCCTTCATACAGGTGAAACTCGAAAAATTAGAATATGTGCAAAAGTTCATTTATTTCAGTAATGCAACTTAAAAGATGAAACTAATATATGACAGACTCATTACATGCAAAGCAAGATAGTTCAAGCTGTAATTTGTCATAATTAAGATGATTATGGCTTACAGCTCATGAAAACCCCAAATCCACAATCTCAGAAAATTAGAATATTACATGCAAGCAATAAAACAAGGATTGTACAGAGAATATCAGACCTCTGAAAAGTATAAGCATGCATATGTACTCCGTACTTGGTTTGGGCCCCTTTTGCAGCAATTACTGCCTCAATGTAGCATGGCATGGAAGCTATCAGCCTGTGGCACTGCTGAGGTGTTATGGAAGACCAGGATGCTTCAATAGCAGCCTTCAGCTCTTCTGTATTGTTCGGTCTCACATCACTCATCTTTCTCTTGGCAATGCTCCCTAGATTCTCTATGGGGTTCAGGTCAGGCAAGTTTGCTGGCCAATCAAGCACAGTAATCCCACGGTCATTGAACCAGGTTTTGGTGCTTTTGGCAGTGGGGGCAGGTGCCAAATCCTGCTGGAAAATGAAGTCAGCATCCCCATAAAAGCTCGTCTGCAAAAAGCCATCTGCTTTTTTTTTAGGCAAGACTAAGACAAACGCAGTCATAAGATTTTCCCAGCTTAGGGTGCAGAAGCTTTTTAATACACCCCGCCCCCCTCGGAAAATGATTCCTTTTGCTCTGCCATGAAAAGCTGACAGCAACTTAGAATTTTGTAAAGAATCCTCTTAAGATTCTATATAATACTTTATTTATTTTTTATTTTATTTATTTATTTTTGTCTATTGCTTACAAAATAGGTATAAATAAAAACATTGTTATGAATACATGGATACATATAAGAAAAATAAAAGAAACAATAGGACAGGGACGGTAGGCACGTTGGTGCGCTTTTTAAAAATAAAAATTGAAAAAGGCATCTCCGCACAGCTGGCAGCTTTTAAAAACAGAAGCCTTTTTGCCAAGATTAAAACAAAACATCGCTGGATAAAGCATCGCCATTCGTCCAGACGTGGTTTTGACGCCGTGAAGTCGCATGTTCGATCCCAAGAAAAATTCGGAGCCGATTCTTCTGATGGGTCCCCAATAAGCTGCTCTAGGTTTCTTCGGGTTTCTTCTCCCAGTGACACGTACCACAGGATGAAAAGAAACTCGCTTTGGAAGCAGGCGTTTCGGACTCACTCCCTCGCTCGAATTTCGGAAAAAGCCGAGGCTTAAACAAGCGCAGGAAGGCGCCTTTCGGGTTCATTATTATTAACGCTGCCGACTTTATAGCCCAAATGACCTCGCCTTTGGCCCCGAATGTTACACTCGTGCAAAAAAGAGAGAGAGAGAGAGAAGGAAAAAAAAATACTCCCTTTAAATAGTCTTTCCGGCCTCAACCTTCCCTCCCTATAAAGCCCAACACTGCACCTGCAACCATCGCTCGAAAGCGTCCTCCTTCCCTTCACCGACCACCAATATCCCCGAAGCTAGAGCGACGCTCCTTCGCTAGGGGCCGCTTCCGGCTTTTTAGCGGAAGTTTGACCGCGCGACGTCACGCCGTCCTTCCCTTTACCCGTGTCCTTGGTGGTTCTCGGCGGAGACGAGGAAGCGATTGGTGGAGCCGTCAAGATGTTTCGAACCCTTTTGGTACGTGAGGGGAGTGAGGTGGGGGAACACAACTCGTTCCCTTGGGGAACCGTCGAGAGGAGAGCAACCGTTGGCTAGTAAGAGCTAACGGTTGGTATGTGTGTTTTTAAATGTTGACCGTTTCCGCCTGTGTTGGAGCTCGAGAGCCAGGATTGCTTCTCTCTGGTGCCCCGCTTGACTATAACCGGTATGAAACCGGGTGGTTAGCCTCAGAGAGGACAGCTGGCCTGAAGGTTGGTGACTGAGGGCGGTGGCGGTTTTTTTGTGGTGGCTTCCCGGTCTTGGATCCAGCGCTGATGATTGGCAAGTCTCGCTCTGCGACCCTTGCCTAGCTGGGGGATGCGGGGTGAAAGAAGAGCGTCCCGGTGTGGCTGGTTGAGGGGAGCGCAGCCCGAATCAAGCTGCTCTCTCCCGTTCAGACAATACAGGTACTTAACCACCATTCTTTCAGTGACCACTTAACTGCACTGGAGAAAGCGACTTAGGACCGTTTTTCCACACTTGCGACCGTTTTTTTTCCCACACTTAGGAACGTGGCACCATCCCCATGGTCACGTGGTTCACATTCGGCCGTTGGACAGCCTGGCTCCTATTTATGACGGTCGCAGTGTCCCAGGGTCACGTGATCCACGTTTTTGCGACCTTCCCACAAGCCAGTGGGGAAGCCAGATTCACTTAACGGAACGGCAGCGAAGCCCTGTACAAACGTGGCAAGAAAAGCTGTAAAATGGGATATTAACAAATTCCTCACTCAGCAACATACATTCGGGGCTCGGTTGTGGTCGTAAGCTGAGGACTACCTGTACTTGTCTATCCCTTTATTAGGCTGATACAGATTTAGATGTGGTTTGAAAGTTTACAGGGTTCTGGGGGCTACTGAAATTTAAGAAGCAACAGTAAGGCCAAATGTAGATAAAATTAACTATCCCCAGCAATAAAAGTAATTGGTGATTCTATTTTTTGAAATGATGGGATGCTAATTTAGAAAATCTAATATAAACTGAATACTAAAGTATAAATTTGCAGAGGCATCCTATAGACCCTTTATAAATGATGACAGTAGAGATGAACATTATCAGTGTTGATAGACAGTAACCACATTGAGCCTTCCTGTTACTGTTTTTGCTATGAACGCTAACTCAATTTGCATATACTATAACAGGTAGGTTTTGGAGGGAGAATGTGTGCTTCTGCAGATGTGGCTTTTTTTAAAATTCAGTAATATAGTATCATCCTTTGTATATTAATGCTGTCATTAATTATGGTGGGTTCATGCTGGAGTCTGCATTGATTTTGTTATACGCGCATCATACATACCAATAGCACTTAGAGAGGGCTGTAAATATAAGTCTAAGAAGTTTACAGAGTCAGCCTATTGCCCCCAACAATCTGGGTACTCATTTTACCCACCTCGGAAGGATGGAAGGCTGAGTCAACCTTGAGCCTGGTGGGATTTGAACTGCCAAATTGTAGGCAGCTGGCTGCAGAAATAGCTTTGCAGTATGCACTGCACCACAGAGACTCCTTATATGTTTGTATTTCTGTTGTAGGCTGTTCGGCAAGTTGCACAAAACCCCATAAACTTTGCCTCTCGCAGGCAGCTTGCAAGCAGGGTTGCTGAGAAGCAGAAACATTTTCAGGTACCTACTGATTATCTTTCTACTTTGAGAATAGCAATTTAATTCATTGTATTATGGTTACTAGGTATCATAAGCAGGAATTAAAACTAAGCTTGTTTATTGAATTCAGTAGATAGCTATGCTTCAGTGTTGGGTCATTCTGAATTCCTGCATTGCTGTTAAGTAACTGAAATATTAATGCTGTTATTCTAAAAATTTACACTCTAGTATTGACAGAAAGGTCTCCATGTCACAGTATGAACACTGGTAGCTGGATGTACTTTTTACCATTAAGAACCATTTTTCTGTATCCTTAGTATTTTAGTCTCAATTGACACTCCATAATTACAATCCTACAGTCTCTCATATGACCTTGTTTTGTTAAATTCACAAATTGTCTGTTAGATCAAAACTGAGCTATCTTTTGGAAAAATACTTGCTGCATATCAGGCTTTCTTCAGGCTTTATACATTCTTAATTCAGGTTAAGATTTTGAGTTGCAGGATTTGCTGTGCTATAATAACAGGTGCAAAGAAGGAGACAGTGCTTTTGTATTTTAAGCCTATTTTTAACAGATCAAGACTTCATTTTTGGCTGTTATAACTATGACTGCAGAAGTTTATTTTTCTTCTTGAAGAGAAACTTGATTTGTAGAAGCTAATCCAAAACTAATATGTGAATACTGAGTTTTGTGTCATTGATGTTAGGAAGATAATGGCATTCCAGTGCATTTGAAAAATGGAATCCTAGATTCTACGCTGTATCGAATTACCATGGCCCTTTCCGTTTTTGGTAAGTTTTAAGTATAAGCTAAGCTGTCTTAGCCTCCTAAAATTTTCAAAAGAATCTACCCTTCTCTATTTAAATCCAAAGTAGATAATTAGAAATATTCTAGGGGTTTTTTTTTTAGTTGAACAAATACAATTCAAGTATTGTATTTAAAAATTAATTAAAATATTAAATGTCAAAATTATTTTGTAAAATATTCCCAATATTGATACTGTATTTATATGACAACCTTTTGTTTGTTATTATTCAGTGTAATATGAGAGAGAATGTATTACCTCATTCTTTTAATCTGATTTTAAAATTGTTTTCAGAAAAAAATATATTATAAATATTTGACTGGGTTGCCTTTTTGGGATGTTCTTCATCTTTGTCTTACAGGACATAATTCAGATATGTGACTATTTCCATTACAGAAGATTTAAGTCTCATTTTGTTCAATAGGAAAAAATGAATGCCATTTTTAAAAATTTAGACTTATTTGCTGTTGGCAGTATTTGACCCAATCTCTCTCATTGAGACTGGACCAATATTATCTATCAACTTTTAAAATGTGAAAAATAATGGAATGAAGAACTTTTCTAAAACTTCTTAATCTGGCATCTCTGTCTTTAAAACAACAGTGAAAGGAGCTGTGTATATCTGTTATATTTTAAGGAAACTACAATTGAGCATCTATATTCTTGCTATCATAATATATTGTCTTTCTTATCTTCAGGACTTGGCTATGCCCTCTATTATATATACGAAATAGGAAAGCCAAAGAAATAACTCCAGTTCAGAAGATGCATCCTGGAATAGCATCGTTCTGTTCCATTCCATTACATTCATCAAGGACTTGGTCCTTGTCATAAATACTTGATTTTGTGTTTGGGAACAATGTTTGTTAAAAATGTAATAACTGCTGTCAGTAAACTAGTTTGGCCTGAAGGATATATTTGCAGCTATTTGTATTTGTTTCAATTGCTACTGTTTGGTTGCAAAAATGACTAATAAACGCTGTGATAATTTACCTTCCTGCCTAGTTTGTAGTTAAAATATATCAAAATGTAAATAAAAAAATGTCCTAATGTAAGAAAAATATAAGCTGAGGTTCAAGCTAATTTGCTACTGCTAATGGAAAAATGCTATTAGTGGAATATGAAGTGGCTGCAAGTTTTAGCAATTTCCTCTTTGACCTGAAATTGGCTGTGCCGATAGATTAGAAGACGGGCAGCTGTACTTGTAAGAGGAGAAATTTAATCTCCCTGTGCTAGTTTGGATGGGACAATTTGGTTAGAGCAGACCTGGACATTTTACAGCCCATGGACCACATCCAGTGTTTCAGCTATCCTTATCTGGCCTGTGGCGTGTGGGGGAGGGCCCCAGGGATATTGGCAGGGGCACGGGGGAGTGGGGTGTTTTTAGGGGTGTGTGGAAGTCCCAGTTTCTCATGTTGTCTTTGGGAAAATTAATTTCCCTACCTCCAGGTTAAAGGATAGCAATTTATTAGACTTTGTCTGAATCTTGTTTTGGAAAGATACGAAGATCACTGAAAAGATATTGAAACTGAACTCTCCATGTATTGTTTCAGTTTTGTTTATTTGTAGGCTAAGAGCATAAAAGGAAATATTGTATTGCCTATTAGTTATATCTGTCCTTGGTGCTGTAGCATTTAGAAATTGTGGAAGCTTTATATTTAGAAATAAGTATGTATCGAAATGTATGCTTCCTGCTATAATTTATAAAACCATCTCACAGATATACACAACATACAACACATTTGATTGACACAATTAATGTAGCATGAACTTGCTAACTTAGGCACTGCTGTTGCAAGAAAAGGGCAATTGTAATTTAAGATTGCTTGGCAAATTGTGAGTTTATAGAAAACTAAAGACTGGGCAATGTCTTAGCCTAAGACCAGGGGTGTCAAATTCAAGGCCCGTGGGGCTGTCCTGGAAAAAGTAAGGGGCTGTGTCGCTTTGGCTCAGTCTACCCAATGTGAAGAGGAAATATCGGGCCAGCATGGCTTCAGCCCAGCCTACCCAGTGCAAAGAGGAAACATGTTAGCAGTTTGGGGAGTGGTGGGGTCGCCCCCAACCCCTCCCCCCTGAGATCAACCAAAGCCCTGTGTTTTTGCTAAAACAAAATTTAAACAGCTTAAACAAGCCTCTTACATTTATAGATGGAATGAAAAGATTAAAAATATTACACATCATAATGTAGCAGTTATCAGTTTCATTTTTGTCCTTATAGCACAAAAGCACAAACTAACTACCGTCAAAAGAGGAAGGACATCTAAAAGTATTGTTTTAGTCCTCAGGCAGTTTCTGTAAAGAGGATATGCTTGCAATTAGAAACACTTGCAGAAATTATTTTTTCTTTGCTTGATCTAAAAGACAAAATGGAATAATAAATTACTCGTATCTTTTCAAATAATTACTTAAGAACTCTTTGTCAAATTTGGATCAGGAAAGAATTCAAGATAGGAACAAATTACGAATAAAACATTTCACTAAACTGCAGGAGGCCTGACGTATAAGCCTTTCTTATGTTTGAAATAAATGCATACTTAAATATGTAAGCTTTGTATGTCATCCTGAGAAAGTAATGCATTTTGTCATGAACAAATACATCAATGTTGATTGTGATTCAAAATGAAGAATATGATATGTACTAAAATCATAGATTTTATAGCAAAACAAATGTTCTTAAATTATTTACTGTTTAGCAAGGAAAATATTAGAACTGTGCTGTTTCCATCGCAATATTTTACAGCCATTCACTGCAATAAATATATTTTGGGAGGAGGCAAAATTCACTGAGTTTAATCAAAGCATGTAGTATATAGGAAGCCAAAAGAACAATGCAGGGAAATAGGCACGTAAGTGACAAAAGTGTAGTGTGATATCCTTCATTATTTTCAGTGCACTATGATGAGAAAAATACAAAACCACTGTGTCTAAAAACAAAGGTCCCAATGATGTCATTTTTGGAATTGCACAACCATTGATGGAAGAAGTTATTGAGATGTATTGGAAGACAAAAGGTAAAGTCACAACACTTTTTGAACAGCAAAGTTGTAGAGATTGGCCACATTAGGAAAAATTATACTGTAATCTAATGTAAAAACTCATATTACTGCATGTTTATTGGTAAAAAATGAAGATGAAATGTGTGACTGAGGTTTTAAGAGTTCACAGGGTTTGGGTTGTATAAAAGTAACAGTATAAATATATAATATATAGGTTGAAGAAAAACCATCCTAAATTTATTAAACAGCTAAAAGTGTGCCATTTTCTTATAAGCAGTTGGGTCATTTCTTAAAGGTATCTGGAAAACCTAATGCATGCAAACCCTAGATAATAATTCATTGTTTTCTTAGAAAATATCTAGGACTTCTTGAAGTCAGAAAGCTTTTACAGAACTGAAGAATATCCCCCAAATAAATACATTTCCAGTAAATATATCATTCAAATCTTTTCTCTTTGTTTATTTTCTCTAAAATTAAACTAAATGTCAACTATAATTCAATATCAGTGATTGGAATAATTGTCTTATTTTTTACTTCACTTCTTTTATTTACTCTTCATATTCATCTTTTCTATGAAGTCTTCATCCAACTTTGCATGTTTTTTTTTAAAAGATACATGGTTTGAGTCCCTGATTATATTCATGTGGATAAATGCAGCTTTTCATTTCTGAATTCTGAGTATTGGAATTCAGGAAAAGCATTGTCTCCTTTTCAAGCTTTCTGAATTTTTGCATATGGTTGCCTTTGAATGTTGTCAGAGCTTCATGTGAATCTTGGTGATCTAAAGGAGTCTTGAATGAACAAATAGTACACAGCTTGATGCATTTCATTTATTTCATAAACAAGATAATCCAACATGTTCTAGAGCAGGGGTGGGCAAACTACGGCCTGCGGGCCACATCCAGCCCGTTGGTCATTTTAATACGGCCCACCCCTGAAAAAAAACAATTCCCCTCTGAAAAAAAAATTGGGGCCGGCCAAAAGAGACCCCGCGCCGCGCGCCATAAAATCGCACACACAACACGGAGCTGGGCACCCGCTTCCCTGGTGGCCGGGCCGAGGTAGCCACCCAGGGAACGCCCAATGCTTTCCCTCCGCCCGGGCTCCGCTCAGGTGTCCGGCTGGGGCTGTCAGGAGTTGCTACCGCAGGCGCAGCTCCGCGGGGCTCCAGTCCCGTGTTGCCTTGGGAAGGGAAAGGCAAAACCAGGAGCCGCTGAGCCTGAGCCTCCGGTGCCGCTGCTGCCGTTGCAAAGCACCACTGCGCCTCTTCCTTTTTGCCTTTCCCTTCCTGAGGCAACGCGGGAGTGGAGCCGTGTGGAGCTGCGCCAGCTATAGCAACTCCTGACTCAGGGGGCCTCCGAGGGGAGGGGAAGGAGGAGAGGAAGGGTGGGGGGGGGGGCAATTCCCAAAAAATCCTGTGCTGACCCGGCCCGTCTGTCAAATTTTAAAAGTCAATGTGGCCCCCGAGCCAAAAAGTTTGCCCACCCCTGTTCTAGAGTGTAAAAGTAATTGCCCCTCTGTTTTAATAAATTTAATTAAGCATACAACTAAGTCCAGTTGTGTGTGTTCTTCATTAAACAATCAGAGTTGTTTGGGCAGCTTTATATGAATCTCACAAGTATTGATTCCACTTACAATGATGTGCTCACCCCATTGATTCTAGAGGTATTTCATGACCTGCTCAAAAGAAATTACAGAAATCCTCCAACCCCCCCCCCCCCAAAGGTGCTGATGTCTCAGTTTAGGATAGACTACAATAGAGAGTCAGAAACATAATCTTGAAGTACAGATTTGGATAACCTCAAAATAAATGTACCTAAGAACCCACAGAAAGCTCTAGAAAAACAACCAGGGAGCTGCAAACTCTTTTACTTTGTCAATAATTCTACCATTAGAAAAGTGGTAGGTAAAATGGGATTCATGAGACCATGGCAAGGTAGAAATGATGGAAGAACTTGGTCACCTCAGTTTTTCCTAAAAGCATTTGAATGAATCCCCCAAACCTCTATTTTATAGAGAAACTCTGGTGACTCCAGTTAGAATGCAACATTGCAGGCAAACTCTGCCATTTCTGTCTTCTGCACAGAGGTGGATTTATAAACTGTACAGATGCAGATAGGTAACTCAACAAGACGTCCATAATTGGTTATTGGTTCATCAGGTATCCTCATAACTCACATTTGTGACAAAGTTCTTCTTTAATGACCAATCCTTTGTATATCTGCCTTGTAGTAAAAGATGGTTATCTCCTAACCCATCTCATAGCAATAGAAAGCAGCTCCCATGAGTTAGGGAGTTCAGGCAAAAGTGAGGGAAACTCCCCCAACCCATCGAGGGTCAAATTAGTGACCAATTAGGATTACAGATGTGACCACGTGACATGAACTACATTTCCCAGGATACCTTTAACTACATTTACCATGACACATTCCTTTAAGGGGACAGTCCATAATTCCTAAGTAATTATCCAATTCCAATAGACTGGCTGGGACAGCCCACTGCCCACTGTCTGGAGTTCAACCTGATGGGCTGAAGATTGACTCAGCCTTCCTTCCTTTTGAGGTCGATAAAATGAGGACCCAGATTGTTGGAGGCAATGTGCTGAGATTGTAAACCATTTAGAAAAAGCACTATGGAGCAGTATATAAGTCTAAATGCTATTGTTATTGCTACTGTTATTATAGAAAGATGGCACTTTTAGGCTATATATAAGTATATAGCAGGAAGCATTATCTAGTTTGTATCAGCTAATTGGGTAGAAGGGCATTTTTCTACCAAAGCTGAAATGTGAGTGAATCATCTAGCAATGATCTTATTTTGGCTGTATTTGAATTTTGAATTCAGTGCAAATTAAGTGCAGCTAAGAAATTTTAACTATGGCCATCACAAGACCTTGTTAGTT